TGAAAATAAATCGTGTGCTGATAATGTGTCAGTTTCTATCGCGCGGTGCATCCAGTTCTCGATATATCGATTGCTGGGAGCGAAACTGGGTAGGGTCCTCCATCTGAAATATCTCAATGGGGATTTTAATATCACATTTCCTCCTTAAAAATTCTATCTGGGTTTCGCGAATAAATAAAATCCCCAAAGTTATCGGTAGGAGGGTGATTCTGTTCTAACTGCTACTTTTTTTATTGAAAATTTTTCAATTTTATAATTAAATTTCTTTTTTTTTTTTTTTAATGCATATTATTACTCTATTTTATTGTAAAAATGAAAGTCCGAAAGGATTTTGCTACACCTTTAAAATATCGAGAATAAGAAACAAATTAAAAATTTTTCTTGCCACGGTACTGACATAAAATAAATTTAGTAGATATTTCTTAGAAAACTTATTAAATTTATTTACAAATTGTATTATGACATTTTAAAACTCTTTTATTCTAATTATTTAACACTTCAATAATAAATAGTAACTCATTTTTAACAAATAATAATACATTATAATTTATATAGAATATTAATCAACTGAGATCTAACACATACTATTTTACGAAAAACAAATTAACTTAAATATAGTTTTTGGTTTTCGTCACAGCATTTTTTGAATTCTTGAGCTTCTACGTAGTGATACAGTCTGATTTTTTGTTGAATAATCACTAGCAACATCTTTTCGAAGAATTTTTAGAGTTTGAGTCAACTTCGGCGATTTTTTAACTTTTTGCGATGAATCCTTTGATTTTTTTTTTGCTTTTTTTTGCATCAATCTCTTGTTTATATTTCCAACTTTATCGTTTCAAGAGTAGTCAATTCTTCCCATAAAAAAGTATTTACATGAATTTTCATTAGAACAATCAAAGCAACTTAATGAATTGAATAAAATTACAATTATGCTTTGGTTGTTTTTTAATTGGATACAATATATTGGAAGAAATAAACGTTAACATAAACGCATATTGCTGCTATCTCATTATATTAACGTGTTTATCAATATTGTAATTTATCCACGTATTTTCTACTAAATTTTCATTGGATGTCCTTTTAGCAAACAGAAATTGTTTATGGTTTCAACTTATCACATAATCTGGAAATTAATCCTAAATTAATCTTCGATAGTTACAGGAATTTTTAAAATTACACATTTCTATAATTACTCAGAAAAATCGAATCGATCCAACACTTTATTCAATGAATGTTAGAATGTAACCTCAAGGAGAACAAATAAACAAATACGCGTACTCTATTGTACTATAAAAAAATTGTAAATAATAGCTGGTTTTTCGACGAGTAAATCGGCAATTGCCCAGAACGATTCTTAAATAGCATTGTTACCATCGAGAAATGACAAATGACAAATTCTTTCAGGGAAAGAAATAAAAGTTAATCGAAAGTATGTGTTATTTTCTAAACGATATAACATGTATATGTACATTTATGTATTTATATATTCAACATAGTATATTGATACTAAAGTAAAATTTTTGCTTTTGTCTACACTTCTTTCCATAAGTTTTGTAAAGCTGGTTTCACGAAAGCAATTTTCAGTATGTTTACGTACGGTAAAACGAAACGTGCTGTACATACATATATATATGTAATTTTGGAATTGCACCCTATATTTTCAATATCATAAGATTGTAGTTGACGTCAAGACGAGTACAACGATGTATTACACTATGACCTTCAAATGATCTTGAACTAAAGAATAGGTTCTATTCCGTTTGCACGCATACTGTTCATGGAATGCGACTTCAAAGCTTACATAAACATGTTTGTGTTTGTACAGACGAACAACTTCTCGAAGGCACTGACGACATTCATGATAAATGGAAATAAGTTCGATCTCCTCTTCCTTCGAATAACGTATCGTTAAACTGAAATCGATAAATGATACATTCGGAATTCTTCGATGAACCGACTCGGTGTTTAATACTTGTAGCTTGTTGACAAACGTGTTTATGTATGCTTTGAAGTCACGTTCCATTAAGGGTGCGCAGGACCCAGAGCCAAACTCCGAGTTGACTTCAGCGACAGTTGCGGAAAAAACAGGAAACTCCGGGACAAGGACAGATAGGGCGATACAAAAATTGCAGGAAAGACGAGGACAGGACGATTAGGCTAGCATGATTTTTTTCCAGGATATTGAAACAAAGAAGCAATATTTTCTAATAATTCTGGTTTTAATATATTCGTTACCCTTTGGCGGATGCGACTCCAAGGCCTGAATGTACAATTTCGGCCTTAAAACTTTATAAACAATAAAATGAAGATAGTAAACATACTTTTATTGTTTATAAAGTTTTAAGGCCGAAATTGTAAAATCAGGCCTTGGAGTCGCATCCGCCAAAGGGTAACGAATATATTAAAACCAGAATTATTAGAAAATATTGCTTCTTTGCTTCAATATCCTGGAAAAAAATCATGCTAGCCTAATCGTCCTGTCCTCGTGTTTCCTGCAATTTAATTATATTAAATGGGGAATTTCTACTTCCGCGCCAAAAATGTGGCATCTTTATCATTTTTTTTCTCATAAAGTATGCAAGATTTTAATTTGAAATTTTACCCACGTCTCTAGTATTATTTTAGTATGATGTATAAATTTTTATGGAAAGATTTGTCGAAAAATATTAATGTTACAGTCCGTTGATCGTGACGCTGCAATGAACACATTGACCGCTGGTTGAGTTGATTTCTACCGTTCAAATGAACCGAAGTAAATAAATCAATTAGAATTTTATTCGATATGAATGTCGTTATCCTTTAGCGAAAAACAAGATCAAAAGTTAACTTTCGAGGTATTAATTGTATGTGTACGTTGCGTAGCATGTGTACCCGTGACTTCACAATATTTCTCAAGTGAACGGCGTGGCGTGGTCAAGCGATTAAGGCATCGATCTATGGTTACGCTGTCCCGTATTCGTTTCCTGAAAGTTTCTTTTCTTTTCTTTTTGTTAGTTTAAATATTTTCATGCTTTAATTATTTTATTATTTGCCGTGGAAATATAAAAAAAACATTTGAAATCATATTAATTTAATTTTTTGAATGCTCCAAACAGGAATGTTTCTCGTTTAAAATATATGGTAGCTCTGAAAAGAGCTGATTTTGTCGTGATGTTTCTACGTCGTTAATAAAATAGTTTTCTGAAAATAAGATAACTAATTAAAAATATATTATTCTAGGTATTCGCTGCTTTTCTAAAATCACATGTCACCACAATTTTGATCAAAAATCATTCCTTTCTATTATCAATTCATAATTTCTCTCATCTCTGTAGTATGTATTACACATCGTTCATGGATATCAATCACACGCATGACACTAGTTTTTTTCTCCAATTTCCATTGAATGGTATACAATTAATAGCTTACGTGAGCCAAGCGACACAACACGTAAATCATTCAGAAAGAATCGTCCTAAGTAATTGGAGGTGGTCGAAAGTAGCGAGATGTAATCACGTATAAGAAATTGGTATCATCCGAAACACTCGATTGGCGCATTCAGAATGCATCGAATGTAGTGAATGCACGGAATTGGGACAGTGCCATTTATCGTCCTACATCTCGGAATCACGACCCACCGCTACCTTTCACCATTAATTTGATATATTTAAGGTTAAATTCCTTGCTAAGGTTCTACCTCTCACCTGTATCCATTCGGCCATTTACGAGTCGCGTTATAATAATTTCACCGTTAACGGAGGAATTCACAATGGACTCAAAGTATTAAGCGTTTGGGATCCTTTTTTTTTTTACAGAAAAGAATTTATGTAATATTTCTGTAACTTTCCGAATATTTTAGGTATGCTTCAAAGTGCATTTGGCAATTTTTTAAATTCATTTTTCACTGAAATCTTTTGAGATATACCATTTTTTTCGAAGCTACATATTTCATATCTATTCGGGGTCGATGCTTTTCTGTAGAAGGCTTGCAATGCATTTACTGATTTTGATATTGTTGATATTTTTGTAATTATGTGCTGTTTAATGTTTCACATTTTCAATCGCGAATTCAAAGTTGAGTTTAGTAGAATTCAGTCTTCTAGTATCATTATAAAGGGCAGAATCTTACTTTTAATATAAAATAAAAGTAAATAAAAATGTATTCAACAATCAATTTTGTTTTATTTATTTTATTTCAATTTTATTATTTCAGAAACACTTCTCATTCGGTACCATATTTTCAATCATTTATTTATAAATGTTACAAACAAATAATATTTATTACTTATTTTGTACGCACAAGACCTCAAATATATCTCATAATTGTAACAAATAAACAAAATTAGGATAAACGTACGACTTCGGTCAGAAAATGTTTTTTTTCGCTTTTTGGGTCAAACACTCCAGTGTGGCGATGTTCCACTTATGGCACTGGATACTTTTCATTTGTGTAGACACGTGACTTTGCCATTGTGGTCGTTTGAGTATTTCCGCTCGTACCGATGAAAGTACTCAATTGCCCGATGATGTCTCCGCTGAACTGTTAACCTGCATTGAGTACACATATATAGGGGAAAGCGCAAATTATGTGACATTACTTCAAATGAGTATCGCGAAGGAAACGAATCCAACCTCTTAGCGAGTTTCAGCATGGATTTTTTTTTTTTTAAATGTTTTGTTTAAGGTCGCGTCAACGTCTAGGTTATTAGCGACCACATTTGGCAAAGCGACTTAGTTGTTTATTTATTGTCATCTTTATACTTGGACCAGTAAATTGTAGCTGTCCAATCAGCATCAAATTGTTGTAGTAATGGTTCAGGGAATAATAGTATTTCAAATTCCTGAATTGGTAGCCTAGTGTTTGAATACATTAGGTGTAGAACTTAATTCTGTGCTTGTACACTAAATCGTTTGTAACTATAGTTTTAATTAAAATATTTGGTTAAACTTTACTTTGGCGGACCTAAAATTAGATACTTTCAAACCTTTACATCAAAATACGTAGAGTTATTTTACTACTCATAGAGTACTGTTTTCAAACTTTTCACATATCTTATCTTTTAGCAGGAAAATTTTGAACTAAAAAATTAGTGAAATGATTTGGAAACTATAGACTTTTATTTGGTTGTAATTATCACGTTTCATACAATGAAGTAGTTCATGCAGAGAAAAATATTAGATTAAAACATAAATTTAAGAAATCGGCAAGATTTTTTTCTTTTACTTCAATCAAAAATAGATTTGAAATTTGTGATAATGATAATAATCTTCATGATCTTTCCATTGATGTAACTTGTTTTCTGGGAATCTTCGAAACTGAATGTGTATCCACTTGTGTTGTTGATGATTCCATTAAAATTTACATACCTGGTGATGGATCCCATTCTATTGCTAAAAAATTAAATTATAATATATGTAAATTATTAATTGTCGAGAATAAAGGTAAAACTATTGGCGACAAATATTTTGATAGCTTACAAAGAGGAGGCCTTTCTGTTCCTACAGAAGAAGTAATAACCGTATTCAGTCATATGTATGCCATAATGGAAGTCATAATTAATGATGCTAACTTAAAGTCCCAATTTGTAAAATCTGAAAATCATACACATATTTTATATAAATTGACATATATTAGCATTCAATCAGATATTCATTATTTTGGACTTTCCGATTATGATTAAAAAATGTAACGCATCATGGGAACACCCCTAGGATGGTGAGGAAATTTACCTGTAACACACTCTTGTAATTAACTGCACAGTTCTTTCCTTGGCCACCTTCCCTTCATCTCTTCCACACGTTCACTTAACCTCTTTGGCTTCGCACCAACAATTTTGTCTATTTCACGTTTGTATTAACTTAAAATATCTCTTATTAATTTTAAAACATTTCAATTTGGTCCAAAGAAGGTTTTATCTTCCTTCACACTTATATTTTCTTCAAACCGCTGTAGATATTTCAAGTTTAAGGCATCGTAACATCAAACTACTTTCAGAGTCCATCAAATTTATACTACATTTACAGATATCAATATACTTTTAAGGGGATAGACACGGGTAATGCAGCGAGGTGACATTACCGGCAAACCTAGGCATAAAAAGTAGTCCGTGATTTTTCGCTTTTCGTCCTTATATTAGCATATTTTGGGCCGAATGCGGGCTAATTCGAAAGAGGAAGCTTGAATACATCCGGGGCTGGTCATAATTCAACGAGATCTTGTTAATATCTAATAATATGAGTGTCCAAAGTAGAGAAAGAATACGATAAAATACATCTGCAGAATCCAAGTATTTGTAAGTCACTATAAGAGTTTTGTGACTCACATGATGACCAGCTCCGGATGTATTGAACCTTTCTCTTTCAAATGAGCCCTCATTCAGCCCAAAATATGCTACTATAAGGACGAAAAGTGAAAAATCGTAATGGCATTCCCAAAATCGAGTTCCGCCATTTTGTGGATAATGGTAGAGCAAATCACGTACCAAATTTAGTTCAGGAAATCGGTATGAGATGGCGCTTACTGAGGACAGCTGGTAACGTGAATATCGATACATTGCGACGTTGTCATTCTGCGTCATAACAGCGTCTATCCTTTCCTCACGCTCCGCTGTTGCCATTTTACTGAAGTCGAAATATTCTTACATTTGCCGACGTCGACAGAGCATAGGAACAGGGGGCCTATTCCCGAGTCGTACGATCAGTTTTCGTATACGCAAGTTGGTCACTTGCACATGATGTCGCTTCAAACGGTATTCTCGAATAGAAAGCGCTGATTCGTATACGAAATGTTTGGTACAGTTTGCATCGGGTGGGCGATGACCACACGAAACGCACGTTCGTATGAAATTCGCGCATGCGCACTAGTTTTAGCGTCAGTAATTGACGAAATATAATACAGCAAACATACAGAAAAATATATATACAGGGTGTCCCAAAACTCGGGGAGGAGGCGGAAATGGGGGGTAGCTGAGACGATTCTGAACAACAATTTCCTTTGCAAAAATGTCGGATGGTGCTTCGTTAAGGAGATATTAAGCGAAAACCCCGACCAATCAGAGCGCGCATAGACCGTTGGAGCGGCCGCGGTAGCGAAGGCTACGCGCTAGGTCGATGCTTCGATGCACGTCGAGTCACTTGTTCGCGTGCAAGCGCGGCCGCCAGCGCGTAGCCTATGCTACCGCGGCCGCTCCAACGGTCTACGCGCGCTCTGATTGGTCGGGGTTTTCGCTTAATATCTCCTTAACGAAGCCCCATCCGACATTTTTGCAAAGGAAATTGTTGTTCAGAATCGTCTCAGCTACCCCCCATTTCCGCCTCTTCCCCGAGTTTTGGGACACCCTGTATATATATTTTATGAAATTGTACAATTGTATTCAATTCTACACCGAAAGCCTTAATAATAGAATATCAGTCATTTTTATAACTACTTTATTATTACATTACTATTTTATAGTAAAGTTTGTACGTACAGATTTTTTTTGATATGTACAGGCACTTTAACTTATATACAGAGCTCTAAAGTAATGATTACTTTTGTATTCGTTACAATATGGAATAATTACATTCGAATTCATCTAGTAAATGTTTTACCCTATACTGTTATGAAAAAATTATTTGTACCTCTTTTCCATTACAATTGCAATATCTTTTCACGTTACCCATGAGGTAATATTGCTGTCAACGCGTTTTTTTAAAAAGTGGTGTCCCAATAGGCCTATTCCACTAAGAAGAATATGCATAACGTACATAGTTTATCATAACGAGTTTATACAACGAGGTAATTTTATATACTTTAGATATTGGATACCTCTTAATTACTTTCTGGGTAGTTATAAGTAATTGAATTACTCAGTAATTAAGAATAAGGTATTGCATAATTACTAAAAACAAAGTAATCAAGAATTACTTAAATAATTACCTTCTAATTCAAAATTGAAATTTATTATACTATGCAAATTTTCGAAAGATAGAACTTTCATATGTTTCATCCATAGTGTGTAGTAGCTAAAGTTTCTAAGGCTGCCGCAATTCTTTCTTTAGCTACTCCATTCCTCTCCAGCAATGCCAATTTTTTATTATAATATTCCTTTCTATTTTCTTTGTCTTCCTCGGCTATTCGTGCCAGAAGCACTGAAGCTTGTGATTTCATGCCAGAGGTTTGTTTTTGTAGTTTAGTGGCTCGACGTAGAGGGTGTTTCTGTCTCACTATAAATAACCAATATACTAATCTAACTGCCATGTCCAGCGGGCACTATAAACATATAAATAAAAACATTTAAAATAGAGTTAAGTAAATAAATTTGTTATGAAAGTTCATAACAGTAACCGTTCCTATATAAATAGAAAAATACATCAGCTATTACTTACCTTTTTCTATCTTAATCGTCGGTCTCTCCACTATTATTGAAAGGGCAGGTTGAGAGTCTGCTGGTGTTTCCACCTTCTCATTGACCACCAAGTCTGTATCTAAACATTCTTCGGAGTAGTCCTTTAATGGAAAAAGTAATATTTTAGAACTTTGGATATACTTTTCAATTTTTAAACATATTTACGTACAAATTGTATCGGCGTTTCATCTATATTGGAATCACCCTTTACTTGTGTTGCATGGATTGTGTTTAGGACACGTTCCTCCTCCACCGATAAACTTTCTGTATTTAACGGACCACCGCCTGTGGCATTTAAAGGGCCTAGCCGATTAAGATGGTCAAAACTGCCCTTAGAGCTTTTTCAATGGCTCTTGAATCATTCGAAAGCTGACCAAGAAAAACCCCTCTGAGTAAAATTTTAAGCCTCTAGCTTGCCCGTGAGGGTAGTTACAGGGTAAAATAGATTTTACGTTTTTCGGCGCATTTTCTGGTCTCAAATGCATTCTAAAATTCTGAAAAAAATCTGACACATTTCGGATCCTAAGGCGCATTTTTGAGAATTTTTACAAATTTTTTTGTTACAAACTGTAGCCGTAAAAAATGAAAAACCTCAAAAAAATCGGAAAAACATTTTTTTCTCTGTTACGAGCCAGGGCGATAGCGACGCGCGTGTGAGCCCTGCGAGTAGGGTGAATTCGAGAATTGCACCGATACGATTAATTAGTATATATCAATGGAGCCGAAGATTTGAGGATAGAGTAGATAATGCAGACGACTGACGCGAAGTCAGATAGTTGCAGGAATCGGTATCTCCCAGTGAAGGGTAACCGTAGGTTAAGGTGTTTGGTTGACTTGGTTATTGGAGACAAACGCAGACGCCTCTGACGCGAAGTCAGGTAGCTGCTGGGAATTGGTACCTCCCAGTACAGGGTAACCGTAGGGTAAGGTTCGAACTGTGAGGTTGTTGGAAAAAGTGCAGCGACTCTGGCGCGAAGTCAGATAGCTAGCAGGAATCGGTATCTCCCAGTAAAGGGTAACCGTAGGTTAAGTTAAGTTTAGGAGTTCGGGTTGAGTACACAATGACTAAATCGTATCGTTAAAATGTAACACGCATCGTTAATAAAGCCTTGCAACTTGTTAACACATTGACAGCCGGCGACGTACGAGACATTCAACGTCTGAGCGCCGGAACCGTAGCGGCCACTTAACGCCCCAACGCCGGCCGTATTCGCGAATTTCTGATCATTGAAAAACCCAAAAATATTTACGACATTATATTTTTTCGTAAAATAATACATTTTACTTGCATATTCGTCATAAACAAATTAATGGTAATTAAAAATTTAAACAAAATCGAAATTATTAATTTATTGTATGGAATGTATGAATAGAGAGTCAGCAATATGCTCAGAAAAAACTTGACTCATATTATATGGGTAAAATGTCACCAAAGAAAAAAACTTGTTATACTGTTCAACCAGAAACAGAAGCGCACGACTGGTGTACTGCTTGTGGAACACACTGCTCGAGAGTGATTCTTGCCTGGACTGTTTCTGAACAGTTGTGCACGTTTTGTCTTTACAGTATAATAAATAAAGATCGGCGTAGTCATGGCAACTAAATACGAATCGTTATGTAAGACACTTATATCAGCAAAAGAACATCCACACATCGTGCAACAATCCGCGGTATCGTGGGGCTGGAGCTCACACACAAGAGTCGGAAATCCGCGTTTTCGCGGGGCCGGCGCTCAACCGCAAAACTCCGAAACCCACGTTTTCGCGGGGCCGGCTGTCAATGTGTTAATTTAATAGAATAATAACTCGAGCGGTAAAGTTATCATGTTGTGGGATCGTTACACTGGCTAAGATTGGTGATTTCAAAGTAAAGGTTTGATGATTGATCTTACAGACTTTTAAGTTTACACAAAGAGTATATATTCAAAAATAAATATACTAATTACAAGTGTGCAGTGTCGTGTTGTCGCGGTTAGTGTATGAAGTTAAGATTACCTAAGTGTTGCGCGGTGTTGACGCACTGGCGATGCGGGGGTCGAGAGTACTTTTATGGCTGTAACAGATTTTAATACCGTCTTCGCGGATCTATATGGTAACGATGATCGAAAGGAACTGAAGCCCGATTTCACTAGAGTGCTACTCTACAGACGATCAATGTGTCTCTAACGAGTAACTCTTTCGTACTAGCTCCCGAGCAACGAAAATCGTGGGTGTATATACTCCTAAATGTTGGTGGGGACCGCCAGTGATTTCCATATTAGGAAATTTGACGGTTAGGATTTTCGTTGCTCTTAGGTCGGCAGCTGTGTGCCCTGGGAAAAGGGTAGATTAGAAAGTATCCCACGCAACGCGAGTCGAAGATGATATTAAGAGGATGCAGCCGCAGGATGCACTCCAGTGAGACCGAGCTCCAAATTCCAGAAGGGTAGATAAAATCAGATTAATGAACGCGAGCTTCTAAAAACGGAGGGTTTCTGTATACGTAACATCTCAAAAATATGAGAACATGCTATTCTACTGTTTGGTTCCCTGATAAAGTACAATAACAGGCAGTGTCGTCAATTTTTTTAAAATTTTTTGTTCGGCTGCTTCATTGTCAAAAACAATAAAAACTGAATTTTGTCGACGTTATTGCTGCGAGGAGGAAAGTTACACTTGTTGGCTTTGTCGTGGGCATATATTAAGTAATTTGTAGCATTATTACACTGAAACAAGCAATTAATTTATCTAAAAAATGTGATTTGAGAGAAAGAAAAAATTATATTCTGCTGGATGTATACAGGAATGTTCGCATCGCTGACAACATCACCGATTGGCGTGGCGGTTAAGGGTGCGCAGTAGTCAGAACAGAACTCCGAGTTGACTTGAGCGACAATTGCGGAAAAAGTAGGAAACTCCCGGACAAGGACAGAGTGGGCGATACAACAATTGCAGGAGAGACGAGGACAGGGCGATTATTCTAGCATGACTTTTTTCCAAGATATTGAAGCAAAGAAGCAATATTTTCTAATAATTCTGGTTTTAATATATTCGTTACACTTTGGCGGATGCGACTCCAAGGCCTGATTTTGGAAAAAGTATATGTGAACAAATTTCTTCTATAAGAAAAAAAAAAGAACGTCCTTTCATTATTTATAAATTTTATTGGCCTTTTATTTTATTATTAAGGCCGAAATTGCAAAATCAGGCCTTGGAGTCGTATCCGCCAAAGTGTAACGAATATATTAAAACCAGAATTATTAGAAAATATTGCTTCTTTGCTTCAATATCTTGGAAAAACTTTGTTGCAGTGAAATCTTGATGATTTGTATGGCAATATGGCTGCTTCGCTATCGCGCTTCCCGTTGCGGCGCTGTCGCTGTCTTGTTTGCTGTTATTATATCGTTAGTCTATACACGGTGTTCTACATGGTTTAGACCAGGGATAGCCAACTGTTTTTACCCCCGGGCCGGTTGGAAAAAAATTATTTTCACGGGCCGGACGAAATATTAAAATTGAAAAATGTTAAGCGAAACACTTATTTCTTTAAGTAAACAAAATTTTATTATTAAAGTTGTTTATGAATAATTGTAATTAAATCGCTTAGTATAAGGTCTTTCGAAATTTGAAAATCTTCGGTGATAGCTCTGATAAAAATTAACAACTAACAATAAGCAGTATCTTTTACATCGCAACTTTCGTCCAGAGCTATTGGATAAAAATTGGTAGATTTTTAATTATTTAATAACTGATTCACGTAACGATTCAAGCGGTAACCAATAGATGCAATGCATGCATTGCAGCAAGAGGTAATCATTTTGAAAAGTGTTGGCAATAAATAAGTGTTAACAACATATGTAAATGTAAATAAATGAGAGGAAAGACGGAAACTCTTTTGTTTCTTTTTTCGCGATTTTCTCGAAAACTGAGCATAAACGAGCAAATCACCTAACGTTTTTTTTCTTAGTTTTTCGGTGCCCAATACGCCTCGCAGTTTAGACATTTAAATTAGGGACACCCTGTATATACAGTGGGTGTAGAATGTATTCGTACACCGACCAATTTGCCAAAAAACATTTGTGTGAAATTGTAGTTTCTTAACTTCTTTTTTTATAATCAATAATATTTTACATATTCTCGGAAGTCTCTAACAAGGGAAGGTCCGGAACAAACGATCCGGACGAGCGCTTTTTGAACGAGACCGGGCTCAAATGATGGGGGCTGATGAGCATAAAAAAAGCGCAAACATTAGTGGTATCTGGCCAGCCGTTTTTATAAAAAATGGCTTTAAACATTTACAGACCACTAGAATCTAGATATACGAAAACATTGAAGTTCTTAACAAAAGCTGTTATAGCTGCGGGTGTTACGCCGCTGGTTCATGTTCAGAGTTCGTGGGTTCGCGACTCAGTAATAGAAAACTTTTTTTTTCAACTGCATTTCTATTTCTTATTTCTCTTTTTACTCACTGCTATATAAATAATATATAAGAATTGCAAATAATATTGATGTGAACATAATATTATAATGAGTACATGCAATACATAATATAGCAATAGTAGAAGTAAACATACAAATGTATGGGATGTGACATATTTACATATTTACATAAAAAAATTAACAATAAAAAAAAGTTAGATTGTCGCATTATTGTTTCACAGATTAGTAATTTATTAGGCATTTAAATTTTTTGCGATCACCTCGACTCTCACAAGGAATGTTTTTTAGGTATCCGCCTCCAATTGTTTTGATTTTTGGATATGTTTTAAAGGAGCGAAAAATAAAATATACTTATTTTTGTATTTTCGCCTGTTTCATATTTAGGAGGTGAAACGACCCCCTAAAGTTTCAGCTGCAATAGGCTATCTCCGAAACTATTGTAAATAGAAGAAAACTTTTTAAGAAAAAGTTTCATGGTTTTCTATCTGCATATAAAATCGAACCCAAAATTTTGTAAAAAAAATAATTTCTTTATAATAAAGAATTTGTTTATAACATTATTTTAAATGTAATCGCAGTTTATAGAATAACCAAAACGAAAATATTTTTTTTTCTGAATCTATTGATGTGTAACATGTACCTGATTATATATGTGTGTTGTTTGCGAAAAACAATAGCTATAACTTATGACAAAGATAATGATCGTACGTCTATATTTGACATGATCGCGACTCAGCGCGGCGTATCTGCGCGATGGATACAATACACCCACGCTCAGAAGTATGTGGACACTAAATATCTAATAACAGTTGCAAATCTATTAATATCAATTGTATTATTTATCTTTCGATATGTTTCTGTTGTATTAGCCGGCTGTTGTATTAAAACATATTCAAAAATCAAACCAATCGAAGAAGGACACATAAAAAACATTCCTTGTGAGAGTCGAGGTGATCGTAAAAAATTTAATTGCCTACTAATTTGTGAAACAATAATGCGACACACTACCTTTTTTTATTGTTAATTTTTTTTTAATACGAATTTCATTGACATATTGGTGAGGTCTTTCTGATTAAAATGAGACCAAATACGATATTGTTATGACAATTAGTTATGATACTAGGCTTGTAAATGTTTTCTTTTACTCTTTTTCCGCTGTCTGTTCCTATGCTCTATTGACGTCGGCAAATGTAAGAATATTTCGACTTCAGTAAAATGGCAACAGCGGAGCGTGAGGAAAGGATAGACGCTGTTATGCCTGAGTGACAACGTCGAAATGTATCGATATTCACGTTACCAGCTGTCCTCAGTAAGCGCCATCTCATACCGATTTCCTGAACTAAATTTGGTTGACTTGCTCTACCATTATCCACAAAATGGCGGAACTCGATTTTGCGAATGCCATTACGATTTTTCACTTTTCGTCCTTATATTAGCATATTGTGGGCTGAATGGGGGGGCTCAGTTGAAAGAGAAAGGTTCAATACATCCGGGGCTGGTCATCGTGTGAGTCACAAAACTCTCATAGAGACCTACAAATACTTGGATTCTGCAGATGTATTTTATCGTATTCTTCCTCTACTTTGGACATTCATATTATTAGATATTAACAAGATCTCGTTGAATTATGACCAGCTCCGGGTGTATTAAAGCTTCCTCTTTCGAATGAGCCCTCATTCACCCTAAAATATGCTAATACAAGGACGAAAAGCGAAAAATCACGGACCTCTTTTTACGCCCAGTTTTGCCATTAATGTCACCTCGCTGCATTACCCGTGTCTATCCCCTTAAGCTACTTTTACTTACTACAGTCATAGTATTTATATCCCACTTTTACATAATTAATAACAAATGGTGTACATTAGCATAGTCTTCTATTAAAAAAACTGTTAATTATGATATGAAGCACAAGACTCTCATATTGGAAAAGAAGACTCTCGATCTAGACTTGAGCGGTGTTGCCACGTTTCTCAGCATGGCTAGTACTATATTGGGTTGTCCGGAAAGTCCATTTCGATTTTTGGTAGATGGTACCATTCAGCTCTTTTTTTTTATTTTATTTTATTTTTAAAGTGCGTAGATATCCTCTATATTGCACTCTCTTACAACTATAATCAGAATATAGGCGTTTCCTTATAACTTGTTTACAAGATATTTTATGTTAAGAATTACATATTAATTGTAACTAAACCTATTTGTACTTTCCTTATTCTAAGGCTATGCATACTAAACTTACGATCTATGTTTTTGAGCACCGTTTGGATATACACTGACGGACAAAATTAAAGCGATACTTTTTTAAAACGTCATATCTATGGGAGTTTTCAACCGATTTTGGGAAAACTTTGCGAGGAGTAGTTTTGAAGTGTCCTCTAAATGTGCGCAAAGTTGCATTGGCGAGGGTTGATACGAAGGCGTTAATTCACCCCCGTAAAGAGGGGCACGTCGAAAAACGCCACTTCTGAAGAGCCAGGGGTGAAGGAAGGGGTTGGAAAAATCAAAAAAGCCTTTGGGGCGACCCTCCTCGATGCCCTCTACAAAATGCACCCCTCAAAATACCTCTCGAGCAAACCCACCCCTCACAACACTCCACCCCTCCAAAATCCACAATTTTTGGACTACAGTCCTGAATTTGTAAAATACAAAATATAAACATTTATCAACAATACAATATGAATACAATAAAATAAAATAAAAGTATCTTAATTTACTTACGTATTACGTACTCTTTGCTTACGTATCTAAATCTAGCTAATAACGTTTAGCTTTGTACCATTTGTTTCTTCCTATTTTGGAACTTTTGCATAACCAGTAAATACCCTGCACATGTATCCCGGTTATTTAATTTTTAGTACTATTTTAGCATTTTTCCTATTGCTATATTATTTTATTAATAGAATTTAAAAACTTAACTATGGTCTTCATAATTTTGATTTTATTGAGTTTTATTAACTATATCACCGATTTTCCTACTAATTCTGTTTCCTTTTCCAGTTTTTCCCATATTAAACTTCTCTCTTGATTGTACAAGCCGCAATCAAATATTACATGGTCGATGTCTTCGTCCGCTTGGTCGCAATCGAACTTGCCACAGCTTATAAAGTTCTTTCTGGCTAGTGATTCTCTTAGATTATAGTGGCTCGCCCGGATCCTTGATATTACTCTTATCGTTTCTCTATTTAGATTGTGTCTCCACTTGTGAAACCATGGTTTATAGTTTTTCCTGTGTAAGTCGGGACCGATTTCTCTAAAGAACTTTATTCCCTTATGATTTCCTATCGAACTCATTCTATCCTTGAAGCTGCTCCAGCATTGTTCCTTTATCTCCATTATAATGTCCGACGCCGGAACTTTGAATTTTGTATCTGGTATGTTATCCGTTTCTTTCTTAGCTCTAGAGTCTGCTGCTTCGTTTCCTACGATTCCCTTGGGGCCGGGAATCCATCCAATGATCGTTGAGTTTTGTCTTTCTTTTAACATATTTCCGGTGTGGATCGTCCATGGGTTATTTTCCTTCCAATTGTTATTTGTTAAGTAGCTTTCCAGCGCTTTGATAGCTGATGCCGGTTAGGATTAGGCAATTTTTATTTTCTTCGATTCTTCTATGTATATCCATTGCTTTCCATATTCCCACCATTTCTGTAGTAAAAATGGTCATGGCATTTGAAACTGTCTTACCATATTCAAACCAGCTGTCTCCCATTTTAATGATAATCCCTATGCCGTTCGATTGTTTACCGGGGATTTTCCTCCCGTCTGTGAAGTACGTAATAGTGTTGCTGGTTAATAGATCGTGTCTATCTAGGAAGAACATTTCTATCATATTAATTGGGACTGCTTTGTCATTTATTAATTTACCTGTTTTATTGTCCAGTTTCCACTTCTTATTACTTGATTCCCCTGTAATTGTGGTTCCGTTTCTCAGATTGTTCCATTTTATTAGACCCTCGGAAATAAATTCCCTGGTGAATATTTGATCCTTCCATTTCCATATATCGTAGAATGGACATTCCGATATGTTTGGCCTGGTGTGGATTTTGTTAGTCGTGTGTGTTTTGTTGATTTGATCATTTTGTTCTTTGATTTTCATAAATAATTGTAGCGTGGGGTTGTTCTCTTTACCTTTTTCGAATTGACGTATCCAGTATTTGCTGGCCGGAAAAATGGCTCTGTCTAGTAGTGTAGTCCAACCACACTCCATGTAGATTACATTAAGTGGAGTAGATATTCTGTAGCCTATCGCTGACCTTAAGGCTGCAGTTTCCGCTTTTCTTAAAGTGTCTTGTATATTTTTTCTCCATCAAAAGTTAGGTACACCGGCGAGGCGTACTCCACAACCGATGATATCAGTGCTCTCGTAAACATCAACGCATGGCTCTGATTAACCCCCTTATTACCATGGCAGAGAAACTTATTATATTGGCTCTTCTTTTGAACTTTTCTACCATTTCCTTAATGTGTGGTCTGAAACTAAGTTGATTGTCTATCGTGATTCCTAAAAATTTTGCTTGGTTGACGATTTCGTAATGATTTTCTAGTACTTTTATTGATTTCTCTTGAGGTTGTTGTCCAAAGAAGGTGATTTTGGTTTTGTCTACTGATATTTCTAGGTCTCTGCTTTTTAGAAAGGTATTTAGTTGTTGCTTTCCTTTCCTTTATTTTACTCTTAGTTTTCTTTATGTTTTTGTCCTTTGTTATAATTCCTATATCATCCGCGTAAATTAATGTTTGTGTATTCTGGACTGTTAATTCTTTGGATAAACCTGCAATATATAGATTAAACAGGGTCGGGCTGATGATTGCCCCCTGAGGGACCCCTATTTTCCATGGGATTGTTGTATCATTCCCATTACTGTCCCTTATTTTAACATACCTGTCTTTTAGCTAGTTGCTCACCCATCCTAATATCCTCGGTGGGCATTTCTTCTCCATTAGTATTTGTATGAGCTTGTCAAAGTTGACATTGTCATACGCCCCTTTTATGTCTATGTAAGCCGTTGCTGTGATATTATTTTTTCTGCTGTTATCTTTTATTTCCATTACTATTCTATTTAGATTATCAACTGTTCCTCTTTTGTGTCTGAATCCGGATTGTGTTTCATCGATGATATTGTTTTCTTCTGCCCAAAGATTTAGTCTTGTATTTATTATTTTCTCTATAATTTTGCCTGTGCATGAAGTTAAAGTGATTGGTCTCAGGGCTGCTTTTCCAGGTTTTTCCAGTAGACACTTCCTACCGATTTTCCACTCTTTGGGTAGTGTTATTTGTTCCCAGCTTTCCTTTATAATGCAGCATAACAATTTTTTCATGAATGAAGGCAATTCATTTATTATTATATAATCTATTTTGTCGTCGCTCGGGGCTGACGTTTTGTTCCTAAAACAATTGATAGTTGTTAGTATTTCAACATTATCTATTTTTTCGTTCCATTTGGATGATGAGGTGCTGATGTACCTATTTACACGTTCGTTTGTTTCTTTATGAGTGCTTTTCAAGTTACTGTTTCTTTCCACGAGTTTTGCTACTTCTATTTCTTCCAATTTCAACCTTTTTCTGGCGTTTAACGTCGATTTGGCCTTCGTGTAGATATTCTTTATTCTTCTTACCTTGTTCCACAGTTTTCCACTGTTTTTTTCACTAGACAGCTCTTCTGTGAATGCAGTACACGTAGCCTCCTTCTTTTCTTTTTTTAACTGTAACCATTTCATTCTGTTATGTTCCATTATTGTATAGTCCTCGGGTTTACCCGTTCTCCATAACGTCTTTGAGCTTTCTTTCCATTTCTTCCATGCTTCTTCGCATTCTTGATCCAACCAGATATTTCTCCTCTTTCTATGGTCCTGACTTGAGTCCTCTTTATTTGTATTTTTCTTCCTTCTTGTATTGTTTATTTCTTCTGGTTCTGGTTTCTGGTTCTTTTACCTTCTCATTCTTGATTTATTACGGTTTTTTCTTTTCCAGTTTTTGTCTGAACTCCATCCAGTTCACTCTTTCTTTGTTTTTAAATAGTTTGCTGTTACTCAAATGTTTCTTGGACCTGTCTGATTCCAAACCTACATTTTCGTTTGTATATAACCTGAGATTTATTATTTGGTGGTCTGACCCTAAGCATTCTCCTGATTCCGCAAAATTAACCGTTCCCGTTAAATCGGGAGGTGTTATTATAAGATCTATATTCGAATTGTTAAAACTTTTGTTATTTGGGATGTACCTTGATATTGTGTTATAGCGCGCTCTGATTGATCAGTGTTTTCCGTTAATATCTCCTCAACGAAGCCTCGGACAAGATTTTCGCTAAGGAAAAAGTTGTTTCAAATCACCTCTCGAACCACCCCTTTCAAGGTGTTACAACATTTTTGGAACACCCTGTATACACTTTCTCCCTTTTTCTCGTCTGGACTCGTCTCATTCGCTCAACTTCACATTCATACAATACGCGGCTTATTTAAACAGTCTACACAATATCTTCATAATCAAACTTTGGCTGTCTAGTCTCTCATCTTTCCTTAGCTACTCTGGCCTCTGTCCCGTAAATAAATAACTATACCTACTATTATATTTAGCTTCTCTTGTTTGGTTAAATTGCACTTGTTCCTGATTTTCTCTATCTCTATTCACCAATTCCTAAGTTACTCTATCACTCTCCCCCCTCAATCTCCTTATCCCTCCCCGACTATATCCGTTTCGTATGCCATACTCTATTCTTTTTTTACCATTCAAAAATAAGTAATATTGTGAAGCATATTTCTTTTATTAAATTTGAAATAAAAAAGCACCGAAACAATTCGTTATTTGAAATAGCTTTTGTTTAAAATAAATTGATATTATTTTTATTTTCAAATAACTGTATTGGAAGTAATAGTATGAAATCAGTTATTTCTTATTTTCATTTTAATTAAAATTTGCCCAGGTCTGTTTCGAACCTTTATTGACGAACGAAGTCGACCGTTTCTGTAAAAATGCAAAACAAATTTTTCTGCACATTTCTCGTTACATAGGCGTTGCTATTAATGGTAGCATCGCCAACGTTTGTTAAGTCAGGTGTGAATTGAAACATTGACGTCAGAATGGCGATGCTCTCTGTATATAACGCTCGACTGCAAATTATTACTGGAGTAAAAGATCACGTAGTAGATTGTGTAGAATTATGTATAGTGCGATTTGGCTCTTACTCACAGATACTCATTAAATATCAATGTAATCGCAAAAGATGGGTAAGATTTTATTTGAATAATAGACGACGAAAAGAAACACCATACAGTGATTTATTTGCTACGTTTATCCGATCAAAGAGTTGCTTAGATAAGCAACCACCTTGTACAATATTTGTTCAGCGTCAAGTATAATTGCATTTTTATATCGTTTATTTCAATTGTAATTCAAGTTGTAATTTTTATCGAATAAGAAACTGATCAGAAGCTGTTTATTTATTATTTTCCATTCGACGTTTGTAACTAGGTAACAATTTACCTATCTCTGCATTATGCCGATCGTTTAAATATCTACATTTTTTTGACTACTTGTTAACTTAACAAAATAATATTCTTTGATATTTTCTTTTTACATGTAGTTCTTTGATTTTTTTGTTAAAACATACACAATGTAGATACATAATAGAACATCAAAGTTCAATTGCAGACTTACTTTAACCTTCTCTTACATGAATTTCGTTTTATTTCTCAATAATTCTAAAACGAGATTGTTCCTTGGTAATCCGTCAATTGAATATCTTCGATTAAATTCGCTCGTATCAATCGTCAATTAAACTACTTTCGATCAACTCTGCTTAATTCAATTTTAATTAAATAATTTTTCATTACATTTATTTAAAATATTTATTAATTAAGTTGATTAAATTAATTTTGTTTAAATTAAGTACTTAATTAAAAAATTGTAATTGATTATTATTCAAACCCTGATTCAAACATTCATGAGCATCGTTAATTCAAACATCTATGAATGGAACTTATTCTTCTAAACACATTAATTAAACTAACATCTCTCCGAGTATAACGGAGGTTGGAAATTATTTATTGTGCATATTGTTTGGTGAAATTTAGGTTGTGCTGGGACGAGGTCGGGAAATCTATATGGGGCAATGCGTGTCTCGTAAGGCGGGCGCCGTCATCGCAACTGGTCATCGCGACTCGCTCACTTACCGTATCATGGACAAACCTGCCAAGGTAAGTGCTGATAATAATTGTATGTAACTCGGATCACTGATCGAAATTGCAACGAACGTGCGCTAACGAGACATTTGTTCACGGGATACGGTGATCCACGAACGTACTCATTTTTAACCATAGACCATTGAAATTAGCTGTGATAATAAACATTTGGGGATTAAGTATATTCAGAGTATACAATAATTTTGGACGTATAAATTGATTACCACGTAAAGTTAGATCGAGAAAATTCGAAAATGTTGTATTGATACCCACAGCCATGAAAATACAGGGTGTCCCGAAAGTGTTGTAACACCTTGAAAGGGGAGGTTCGGGAGGTGATTTGAAACAACTTTTTCCTTAGCGAAAATATTGTCCGAGGCTTCGTTGAGGAGATATTAACGGAAAACACTGACCAATCACAGCGCGCGTATGCCGTTTGACCGCTCGTGGTAGGCGTGGAGTACGCGCTAGGCGACCGCCCTCCGCCGCTATACTCGCGCTCTGATTGGTCGGGGTTTTCCATTAATATCTTCCCAATGAAGCCTCGGACAACATTTTCGCTAAGGAAAAAGTTGTTTCAAATCATCTCCCGAACCACCTCTTTCAAGGTGTTACAACATTTGTAGGACACCCTGTATTTTCATATCTCTATGTTTTAACCGACTTCGAAAAGGAGGAGGTTACTCAATTTTGACATGTATATAAAATATATATTTTTTTTTCGTTTTTAATGTATGTTCATACATTTACATATAATGACAGCTGATTTCATGGTGTTCCCAGTTGGAAAAAATTGATGAATTTCTTAATATTTATAACTATTATTACTGCAAAATTCCTATTTTTCTTATGCAACTCAACAAGAAATTAACCGATCGAGATGAAGCCTTTCTATTTAGTTCCACCTATTTGCAACAACATGTTGCACAGAGTGTAAAACAATGGTTGCTTTCGGAATAAGAATTATTTTAAAACCCAATACAATGAAAGTGTACTCATAGTATTGTCAGAGCTTTAAATTGACAAATTATCTGAAAGTCTGTGAGAGAGAAAGTATATGTATTGATAATCTAAGAATGCCTTGCCTGGCCACGCCAAGCATTTGACTTCCAGACCGCAGAAATCTAGGCAAATTTCTAAACTGTCTCAATTTGTGGCAAATACGCCATTTAGCTTCTTCATTTTACCGACAAAGTGCGGAACAGTTACTTTACATGAATTGTCATTAGGATCTAAACGTCCGCACTGTTGAACACGGCATTTTAGCTGCGCATAGTTGGAAAGCACCGAAGTTGATATTATGTTACACAGTGTCACCTTGTACTTTACTGGAAAGGACCTTCATGTACTGGCTGCTCATTTCGATTTCATATCTTTTTCTACTTTCTTGTAGTTTTTTATGGGGATCTTCTATTTTTCTATGATAACTCCTTGAGTCTTCCACTTATTCATGTACTTGGGGTAATGTTTTTACTTTTTTGAAGTTTTTTATGGGGATCTCACTTCTTTTTACAAAGATAATTTGCATAGTGAATGAATGAATTAAAAATATGTCCACTATTTGTAATGCACAATTTATTGTATTAGAATTATGTTCATAAGTATGCAGAACGCATGGTAGAAAGTCTTGTTTCAAGAAATTTAAATGTTAAAGATACAGTGAGAAAATTAAAAAAGAGATCCACTATTTGTTACTATATCTATAATATTTTTAATATCTTTAATCTAAAATTCTTCCACTGTATACCTATTATAGAGGGTTTAGACATAAAACTTATTATGTGTATAACTATTTATTACACAACACACGAATACATAGTTAGGTTATACAAATACATAATAATAGAAATAATATGATATAGTAAACTGATCATAAGATCAGATACACATGACGCTCTATAAAAAATGCTGAGAGAGAGTAAGAGATGTAAGCGTAGGGCTTTTACACACCCTCTATATTGGGATACGGAAAACACTTTCACTTATAATATTTTTAATATGTATAATCTAAAATAATCTACATGAAATAATATGAAAAAATGAATTTTTTAGTTTTGTGATTTATATACACAGACTCCTAAGTTTTTTAATTGAATAGAGGAAAAGAATAGGCGAGGGGGTAAAGAAAGTGAATATATACATTTCATATGATATTAATTTATTAATTATGTTGAATATTTATTTAGGAAATAAATACAACAGAGTTTTAAACTAAGTGTATATTTAAAAGTATAAGCTATAATTTACAAGACAGAACCGATGTTCTTCGATCAGAGGTTTTCTGCTAACTGCCTGCCGAGAGTCGGAAAAACTATAAACGGTCAGGGGGTGCAATAAACCGTGTTCTTCTCAGGTAAAGCCGACCCCCGGTAAGGAGGGGACTGCGTTGACGAGCGCAACTACAGAAAACGTTCAAAATTATAGGCACATAGTGCTTATTCTCAACAAATTATAAACATTTATTCATTGAATTCATGAATAGATATAAATACCAGCAAATTTGTTATGTACATCGCATCATCTTATGCTTCAATTATCTGTAAAACATACAAACCATATGTTAGTTGCAAATTAACGTAGAGCTTAAAATAAAAATAGAAATCATAATTTTCATATAAACATTATATACAGATCACTTAGTTCCTTCCATTGTACACTCTGTCAGGTCGTAGTATATTTTAACTGGCTAATTTCAATATACCTGTCAAACTTTATCGTATTTCCTGTAATCCTTGCACGTTTCTTCTTATGGTATTTTAATAATTACTATCAGATATCCTTCACTCAGATAAAATATTAGAATTTCACAGCTGCAGCTCTTATTTTTGGAGAGCACCAAAATATTGTTGCTCCGTCAGCAAATTATTTGTTTCATGAAACAAGCAATTCATCCCTTCGATTCCTCTTATTGGAATGACTGTAGCTGCTTAGATCAATCAAAGTCTGTGAAAACAGAAAACGCACAAGGATTTACAATGCTAATACATGTACTTTAGGCGCACAAAACTATTTATCAAATAATGATAAACACTATCTACTCTAAATTGTGGATTTTACTTACTCTTTTATTGATGATGTTATATGCTCCTCTTCTTGTTGTAAAAACAAATATATGTTGCACTGCTAATACTACTATTATAGTTTTACTGCGTGCACATATGTATTACAAGGCAACATTACTGTCTCTTGTGCATTATTTCTTGCAGTATCTGGTGAAATTTTTTCTTCTGTCTTAATAATCTGCATCCAGCTATTCCTCACTGTAACCTATATCTGTCAAACGATACTAACCTATATCTGTCAAACGATATTTGTTTGTCACCAACACCTTTATTGTAGGCGAAGATGCGACACTTATTACACAATTTATCATCAATAATTACCACTCTTTCTAAAGTTCTAGAAACTGCTTCAACTTCCGTTTGGATTTTCTTAATCTGACCATGCG